AAGCACAATGTATAAATGAAGGTCTGAAAAGAGTTCTGGCTTACAAACTTTTCAGCACTGTACTACAGTGCAGATATATCAAAAAGCTCAAAAGAATGTGATCAACTGCCTGACGACAAAGATTATCCACTGAATTCTGGTGCTACATTTATTCTGACCTTTTTTATTTTTTCATTTCACTCTTATGAAGAAAATATTCATTTAGCTGAATGGAACCTCAGGAAATGCAACAAAGAACAAAGTCCTGCACCTGGGAAGGAAGTAATTCCTGAACATATATGGGCTGGATACTGGCTGGCTTGGGAGCAGCTCTGCTGGAAAGGATCTGAGGGGCCCTGATGAAACTTGAGCTAAATTTGAGCCAGTTTTGTGCCCTGGCAGTAGTGCTCACTTCCTTCAATCTGCTGACCTGATAATACAGCCTGACAGCAAATTAAGGAGAGTGATCATCTCCCTTTATTTAACATCCATCAGACTAGATACAGAATACCATATGCAGCTTTTAGTCCTACAGTTCAAGAAAGATTGACAGAGTTTGGCACAGCATCATCAACAAGGGCGGGAGCTGGAGCGCCTGCCCTGTGAAGAGAGACTGAAGGAACTGCATTTGTTGAGCCTGGGGAACAGGAGGTTTTGGTGAGCTAGAGGGATTTGGGGGTGTTGGTGGATGAGAGACTGGACATGAGCCAGCAATGTGTGCTTGCAAAAGTAATAGAATTTGGCATAGAGTAATATTCATGTAGCAGACAGCTTGAAGAAGTGCAGTCTGATGGAAGACTAAAAGAAATAGAGAGCTGTTTTTCTTGCTTGTGTAATACTTAATAAGACAAATGAGAGAAACCTGCAGGTTCTCCAAATGTACAAACAAAAGAGGAGAAATTACTGAGGCAAACATGAGGAACATAAAAATAGGAGATAAAAATAAAATATTTATAGTAAATATATGGGAAAAAATCAAGACAGCAAGATTAACCAGTCTATTGAACATTTCTGCCTGCTGATTTCCACATTGCTTAACACAATCACTCTTTTAAAAAAATTCTGCTTTTCTCACTTTCTGAACTAAAGAGGAGAAAACTCCTTACCAGGAAGGACCGGCATGAGTAGGATGTGGCCTGAATAATCCAAATCTCCTTTCTCTAAATCTAATCTCTCATAGTATGAGTCATGTTACACTCAAGCCACAAGATAACATACATAACATTAACAGACACACAAATGTGACATTTCCATATGGTAATAACAATTAAATCAATTCCTACTGACAGTAAGAAAATATCACTAAGTAAAAAATGTGAAATCAGTCAAGCTGTTTTGCTGCTGGCTTCAGTAGGAAAGCATCTTTCACTTGCATTCCAGCAGGTAACTGTGGATATACTTGGAATTACTGGGCAAGGGATAAAGAATTCATCATCAACTAGAGTTGTACCACAGCCATATGGCCAGATGGGTAGCAACTGAAGTACTCAGTAGCAACACAGAATTTAATTCACCTCCTACTGTAAATATGTAAAAATCCATTTCGGAAGTTTCCTTTAGTGTGGATCAAAAATAGTAACTGCAAAATGTACAAAAGTAGAAAGCATGTGACAAAAGCACTTTATTTGACCCTATTCTACCAAAAATATCCTTACTTCCTCTGCTCAGTTTAATCCATCACAATCTACAATCATCTTAGCTATATAATCCAATACTTATTCTCCACATTTGTGTGAGTTTCTGTACTGAGAACATTAGGATGAAAGGATTTAAGAGCCTCTCAACTGACATTTACAGGGATCACGGTTCTTCAGCCTCCCAGTAGTGCTAACCTTACATTTTTTTCTCTTATTTCCTCAGTTTAAAAGCTCAGTTAAAAAATTCATAACATTAGGAAAACACCATATCTTTTTAAAGAAACAGAATCTCTTCTTTAGCAGCCAGGACCTGCCTCATTTGAGCTTATCTGTAAGGAGTGTCTCTGCTTCCCACCATGTCACAGTGATTAAATAAGCAACAAAACATTTTGAGTGTCTAATGGGGAGGCAACCTGCTAACTAAAATGTGACAAAGGATGGGATCTTAGACCAGCCCTGTATATAGCAGTGATTAAACATACTACAAAGCAGGAGTTTTACACAGGGCAATCTCTGTGGCTTCCTCACCTGCAGAGATAACCAGATCTGGGGAAGACACACCCTAAGCACTTAAAACACCACTAACACACTCTTTCCCAGGAGTTTCTTAGGAGAGAAAAAGGAGTTTATACTCTGGGAGGTGTTTTATATGATGGCACAGAAGTGGTTAAGCATTTGCATTCAGTGTGGAGAGTTCAAACCTGCACTTTTAAACATATTTTTACCTCTGAAAACACATGCAGGGGATTCCACACCATGGGAGGAGAGGACTGTAATCTTTAGGATTTACTGCAGCACATGAGAGAGCACTACAAGCCTTTCACACCGAATATGTATTTGCAGCAAAAACTTTCCTGATACGTAGTGAAAAAAAATGCAGAGATTTGATCAAAGATCTTGATACAGACTAGGCAATAAATATCCTCTTAGGAAAGCCACTGTGCCTTTCAAAAGATAAATCTGGGATGTACTTAAGTACACTTTTCAAACTATTTACAGCAATTTGAATAATTTGTGTCTAACTAAATTATCCAGACTAAACCCACATTTCTGCTTGCCCAAAGTTTATAAAGAAGTTGGGCATTGAATCCATGAAATATCTCCCTCTACACACACTGGGTATATAAATGACTACATTTGTACCACATGATGTCAAAATGAGAACATTCTGAAATTTTCTCAGAATTTTCAGAACATTCTGCAAGGCGTGCTAAACTTCATGCATTTGAACAGAAAAAAAAAGAAACAAAATACTGATTAGAGATTTTGTAGAACTTCACATGGGCTCTTTTTATTTCCTTTAATTGTAGCGGTAAAACATTTCCTCACGTGATCTGATCACTAACCCCATTTGGGCTTTGGAGTTTGTCAGAAGTAACTGGAACACTCAGCAAGCTGCAAGCACTGGTAAGCGTAGCTACGTTGTGTAGAGACAGCTGACTCACA